CTCAAAGGTTTTTTGTTTCTTTTGATGTATTTTCTCTTTACTATTTTCGTGACTTTAAAGACCCACATACAGTGGGATAGGGAGGGTATGGTTCTAAAGGAGTTCTTGAACACAAAGAAAAGATCCTGACATTGACCCTGGTTCTCCAGGGGGAGAAGGTCCAGCCTGGCTTTAGGTGCTGTGTTGGGTCGTTCTGCCCATGATAACCATGTAAACTATGGGGAGAAGGGGTCAAATATAGGGGCACAGGGTGACCTCCTTTTCCCAGCTCCCTGCAACTTCAATGGAAACAATGACGCCAGCAAGGGGAGAGAAAGTAGTCCTAATGAGGAAGGCTGAAGAGACTGAGACAAGCTGGTCATGTACAGCATTTTTGAGTTCCCGTCTGTCTGAAAAAAAAAAAAAAAGTCATTCCATATAATTCTTTGTTATTTGGGTTCTTCCTCTTCCTTAGGGAAAATTTAACTTTTCTCTTCAGGTGGCTATTAACAAAAACTTGTGGAAAAAATCTTTTCCAGTTAACCGCCCCCACTTCCCTTAAGCTGTTTTCTCAAAATGAAATATGGGAGAAATGAGTGAATGAGAGGGGGCAGGAGGAAGAATAAGGAGGCAGAGGAGGCAGACGAGGGAGGAGGAGGAGGAGGATAAAGAGCCACCGGGAAAATGAGGCCGCTTTCAAAGGACAGAGGCAGAGGAAGAAGAAGATGAAGAAAGAATATGAGGAGAAGGAAAGGTCCAGTACTGGAAGAGAGAGGAGAGGTGAAGGGGAAAGGAAGAAAAACTCAAAAAGACTAGGGGACGTGTAAGAGGGAGGACAGCCACGGCAAACGAGGGAACTGAAGCGGAGGCGAACAAGATCTGGTGCCAACTCTTGACTCTGTGCCGTGTCTGACAAAGTTGTTGTGTGGCTCCCACTGCCTGGTTCCACCAAACAGAAACATATTTTGTGTTCTGCTCTAATCAGGTCAGGGCTGCTTGGAACCCTGGTTCCCTACATTGCCTCAGCCTGAGAGCAGTCTGCTGTCAGACATTATTACCTCCTATGCTCAGGCTGAGCCTATGCTGTGGTCTCTGGATATGCTAGACACTGGACTGATAGCCTTAGTCCCCAGCTATCTTTAGACATCCAGAGTGTGGCCTAGTGTGGTATTCAGTGAGTTCGTCTACTTCAGAAAGCACCTCTGTTCTCTACCTCAAACCTGAGGGTACTACAGGGGACAGGACATATTTTCCTCATATCTCCTAAACATCCCTTATATTGAAGTCCCTGTCAGTGATATTTATAGGAAATGGCCATTGCAGTTCAGTTGGAAAAGGCCAAATAAAGAGAGAAAAATGGTTTGAAACAGACTAACTTGTTCTAGTCTGGAAGAGGTGCAGGCTGAAATCCAATTCCAATCTACTGCCCAAGAAACTGACATTGAGTTAGTCCTGGTCCTTGGCCTTCCACAGTCCTATGAAAACATAGCCGAGCCAGTAATCCCCTGTCACGTGTATTCAGAGAGGTGTCCTAGCTGTTTTCCAGGCCCATGCGGCTGAACCCAACATTCACAAACAGTCTGTGATTTTAACTCAGGGCAGTATTCTACATCAAGGTGAATAGAAGTACCAAGATATACTGGTGGGATTTAAAGAAGACAAAACCCACCTTGCAAACATAAACGTATGCTGTAATACCAGATCATAGGTCAACTTATACCACTAAGAGCTGACGAAGACATTTCCCTTTGGCTGCGGTGCTAAGATTAAACACCCCTGCACATATCAGACAAGCACCACTACTGACGCATGCTTGAAACCCAGGGGTACCATTTTTGCCAGGCCTTTCAGACATTATGGGAAGTATGGTTACAGTCCGTTGTCTTCTGTGCATATGCACAGAAGCTAATTTGTCAAGCATTGGCTTTTCAAATAAATTGTGTTCTTATGCCATTTCCTGCCTGTGCTGTTGCTGTTATAATACACCTGAAAGGTTTGGGGCCAAGTAGCTCTTTGTTGGATACTGGAGAGTCTGTTCTCTAAGGGTCCAATTGTTACTAACAGGATCACATCCAAACGTAAGGTAGAGCGGGTCCATAGTGAGTATGTGTATCACAGTGCATGGCTGAGCAATTGCGACTCAGCTGTTGAATATGCATTCAATATCTGTGAGTAGATATTCAACTCATTATGAGTTATCTGACAAAGATCTTTTCCTTCTGTACTAGGAGTGTGACTGGAATGGCAAATAATCTTAAAGCACTCCCTTTTTGGATTTGTTTGTTTTTGTTTTCTGAGACAAGGTCTCAGTACACAGCACGGGATGACCTGGAACTAGCCAGATGGCCTAGGTTGATTTGAACGGCCAGCCCTCTTCCTGCCTCTCCAGCCTAAGTGCAAGGATGAAAGCCATGCAACGCAGTGACCGACTGGACTTTATTTCAGAAACATTACAGATAAATCAGAATAAAGAAAAATTAAAAGAGGAAAGCCCCAGTATTTCCAGCAGTATGGAATTCCTGGGCTAAAAGGATTTAATTCTGGGGAGAAGTGAGCATTTTCACAAGTTTCTGCTTTAGAGGTTGTTGCACATGTAGCCTGAACTCAGCTGAGGAAAGCAGCGATGATTGGACAAGGAGGTCAATAGACATGTGCCCCACAGATCTCTGCCTCCTATACCTCCTAAGAACACAGAGCAAATCTAGCCACTTCCCATATCAGTTTCACGCACATGAAGAAGCCGGATGTACCCGTACCTAAATACATGGGGACTGGAGGGCCATCCCACTGCAGATGTAATGCAACTACCTATTCCTAAGTTATGAAAATGCCATCCGTACACGAATGCCCTCTCATTCCCCCAACCCGCTCTAGGAAAAGAACAAACTTTATTGCTTTTCAGGCATGTGGAGGAAGACATAAGTTTGCACTGAGCATCAAGCAGAGCTTGTTTTAAAAGCTTCAGAGCTCAGACAAAAGAGGACCAGTTTCATTAAACTACAATAGAATCAGATATAAACATTTCCATAGTATTTCACCACTGAAACAGAGAGAAAGGAGGACATTCAAATAAACGGAAATGCTTTATGACTGTCCTTATGGTAGCAAATTTACTGTATATAACAACATAAAAATTTGAAGGACAGCATACATAGCTTTTATGTCTTGTTATAAGCAAATACCTATACAAAGCAAGCTTAAATAATCATTAACATATAGGGTAATAATGGTGTATTACAATAATCCATTATCTTCCTAGAGATCAACAAATGGCTACTGCTTCTAAACACTGGAAGTCAAATGTCCTCCCTTGTATGGAAAACATGTTACCGACCTTGTTCTAGCGTTACCTTCTTCCAGAAGGAAAGAGTACGTATTTGAAATATTTCCATCACTATCACTCTACTTTCGATACATATAAATAATATTATGATCAAATCTATCATATTAACTTCAAATCTTCTTGATTTACCTGCTTAATTTTACACAATTGGTTAAATTCCTTCTCAAACATTTTGTAAACATAATTTGTTCCTCTGTTGCTTAAAGTCTTCTTAAACTGTTAACTTTTAAATTTGACAACACTAACTTAAATCTAGAGTCTGTTTCATTCACTTTCAAAGTCGGTCCCATATTTTCAGTGGGAACTCAAGTAAGTAACTGAGCACTCAACATGGAAGAAAGCAACACCCTTCCTACAGAACTCCACATGGCTGACACATCCATCTCCTACCACAGGACAAGCAAGAGCAACCCAAGGTTTCATCACTGAAAAAAGGGAAGAAGAAGCTAGCAAGACCATCTATTTGCCACAAAGATACATTTCCTCATTGTGTATAAAGAAAAGACTTTAAAAAAAATTAAAGCCCACATACTGCCCAGAAAGAAAAATGCTTTTGGAAGTCTATCAGAAACCAACCCAGATAAACCAAACACTGTTAAAAATCTATGCTCTCCTCATTTGCATTAGCTTCTTTCATTATTTATGCTGCAGATGAACCTGTAGAATGTGCACTTCTGGTCAAAGGGCTCATATGTCTATTTTACTTGTATAGTCATTTGTGTTTATATAGAGAAGAAATCTGAAAATAAACGAGTAACATGGTAAACTCATATGACGGCATTTCTTCTCTCTACCCCTCTCCATGTTGTCTATCAGAGAAGAACCATGGATGTTATTTATGCTCCTGCAGCTAAAGGCAGCTCCTTGCTTCCTGTATCATTCTCACTGCAATGTAGAATTAAATACATGGCATGGAAATTGGCTTTCACTCACTTTCGAAGCTCTAGATAAAATTAGACAAACAGAATCATGTATTATAACCACACACAAAAACTGGTGACAGAAGCTAATTCAGATTTGGCTATATATGCAGGCACAATGAAAAACATGAATTCGTCTTCATTGTAAGCAAACACTTTATACACCCTGAGACATGACAATATCCCAGTTTTATAACCGGGAAGCATGTATCAATAGTTAAAACCATGCCTATTAGAGAAGACTGCAAAGGAAAGAGTAACAGGTACATTGTGGACACAGGGCCGTGCATTGCACAGTTCTTAAAACGGTTCCCTTTCCCTGTATCCACCCCCTCAGTCCTCCGGGCCGTGCTGTCTTCTCTTTGCCTGAACTTCCACTGAACCAGGCCAGGAGTCACCTTTGCTACTTCTAATAAGAGCACCTTCTTGACCCAAGATGAAGCACACGCCCAGGTCAGTTTGGACTTCTTCCTGCACCTCCAAGCCACCACACCACGTGGTACACCAGGGAAATCAGAACGCTACCAGGTCTGTCCCTACAGACAACAATATTCCCTAAGGACTAACATTTTATGACATCCCACAGGAAAAAATGATTATATCTGCCTACATACGATGCTGGAAAGACTTTTCCTTTATCTGGTAGCCGGTTTGTTCTGTCTTACTAAAGCAATGAAGAAAACGATATTCAGTGGAATGTGGGAGCTACACCTTTTCGGACCCAAGAAAAGTGCGACCCAAGGCCGTGTTTTTCATACCTTTGCAGCCACCGACGAATTCGGTTTCTCCAGCAAGTCCCAAAGTTTCTTCCTTTTCTCCGGGCAACAGGTGTTATCAAACTCCTCTCCCTCCCGCTCGCGCATGGTCTCTGCCTCCCGCCTCAGTTCTTCGTTCATCTGCTCTTTCTTCTGATGGTACCGGGCTTGGCAGCAGGATTCCAGGTAAATCTCATCGATGCCCCAGTAATCAAGCTCTTGGCCAAAAGAGAGCGCACACATTTCTTCCATCATGTGGAGCTTCCCTGTCCGGTAGAAGTTTAGAATAGATGTGAAAGCCCCGGGATGTCGGTCGAAGAAATACTCATTCTCGTTCAGATTGTAGTCATCGCAAACCTCCAGGAGGCTCTCGTGCGTGTTACAGTCTCGGAGCTTCCCCAAGCGTGTCCTGGGGAGCCTATCCAGAGTTCTCCACAGGACTTCGTGGTTAAGGCCCCCCACGTTGATCTTAACTCTCCGAGAGCACGTTTTGCTTCGGATAATGTCCACCGGTTCTGGAGGAAGAGAAAGTGTCGACCTGGACGTCTTCCTGTTCAAGCCAGGTGGAGCCTTTTCTGCCATTTTGAACTGGACAGAACCACAGAGCCAGGGGCCTTAGAGAGGAGGTCAGCTGAGGCAGGATTCCTCTGGAGCAGGCGTGTCCATGACAGCTGGGAAAGAAACAAGAGCATTTAGTCATGCACAGTTCTCCCACAGCGCTCTCTACCTACCGGGTCACTCAGCCGTTACAATCACGGATGCCATTAATGGTCATTGTTTTCTTCTGCTGGTATAAACCTGGGTTGTAGGAAATAAGAGGGGAAGCCACATAATGAGGCTCCCAGAAGAAGCTGTGTGCTCACTTGTGCACATCTGTGTCAACGGTGTTGCAGAGCAGTGCAGGTGCTGACGAGGGCCCCAAAGATAAAGTCCTGGCACGGTTATACCAGCTATGCCACTAACCTGCCCCGTCAGGTCCAGTCAACAACATCCATTTCAGGTCGATGACCTTCCTCCTGCCCGCACCTACTCCAGTCACTGAAGCCAAAGTCTGAGAGCACCTGGTCTTCTCATCTTCATGCAACGACAGAACTCTGGACATTATAGCTCCTAGAAACTGCTTACACTCTCTGCCTTACCCAGTCCCTAGCACCAAGGGCCGGAACTAAACTCTTTGCTGTCCTTGTATGTGTCACTACAAGACTCATTAAACTGGCCTAACATGACCATCTGAAAGCCAATCACCAAACAGCAACAAATAGCATCTACTAAGATACAGACTTGTCCTTATTATCTTGTCTTAAACCTTCAAGGCTCTTTGTTATTGGAAGTAAAACCTAGTCAGCCATACAAGATCCTCTCCACATTCCCTTTAAGTCCAAATCACTGTCTGGAAATCATCTACATCTATATCTATAGGGAATATAACTCAAAATACTTAGCGGATTTTGGGAACTTCGAAATGTGTGTAGATAGCTGAATGCTAGATAGATGATACAGGCAAACAGATATAGATAAAGCTATATCATGATATGATTTCCATATATATACACACATATATTTCAGTGTTTTAATTTTAAGTTAAGTAAGAGATCAACAATAATAACTAATAGTAAAATAGAAGATTTATAATAATATGATATATTACACATTATCTAAAACTAATTGTTAATTTCTATAAATTTCCATGTAATATTTTAGGACCTTGTTTGATCATGGTTAACTAAAAACACAGAAAGTAGGTGGATAAAGGGAACTTTTCTTTTGTGTTGCACCAACCCCGTCACACACGCAACACTGTTTTCAGGACTTGGTTCATTCATGGTGGATCCTGGTGGGATCTCCAACTCTTGTATTTGTTTTTGATCAATAACTGCTTGCTTTTCAAGATTTGGGCCAGATGTTACCTTCTTCAGAGGATCTTCCATGACACACTCCCTCTGGGATTAAGAAACTGTTATCTCTTGCCTTTCACCATGTAACTGAAGCAGTATCTTTCCGTAATGTACTGCAAGCTCCCAAGAACAAGCCCACCCTTCTTTATTTTTACACCCTTGTCATTGAGTACTGTCCTTACACACGGGAATGGTTTGCTTTATTTAAATAATGAGTCAATTCTTCATTTCCCATAAGGCAGCTAACAGTCAGGAAATGTATAAATGAAGTTATTGGGATTGTGGGCTTAAATACACCTATGTGTACACGCTGTGCATGTACAGAATATGTTATTGTATGCCGAATTTGTCTTCTTTTGTTTCACATCTCTTTCCATGGGGCACTAATGTTTAGAACATGATATTTATAGTGTTTCCCCTTGATGGTCTTGCTGTATTATCATCTGAAGCAAGAAGAATCCTCGTGGCTATTATCTTCTGAGTGATTTGGTAGAAAATCCCAGAGCTTTGAGAAACTGGTCCACAGAGCCCTCTTCCAGGTAAAACGCCATGTTTCACAAGTCAATGGCTCAGGCTAAAGTGAAGTGATGAACTTTGAGAACCGAGAGGTTCTTAGGGCTAGGACTTTATTGTAAGATGCACAGCCGTTTCTGCAAAGCCCAGGGTTCTTCATCTGCAAGTTAAATTTATTTCTCCATCTGGAGGCCAAGTATCCTCCGAAATGAATATGTTTGCCTTCCGAAGAAAAAGTAGATGGACTACATGAGAAAGGTTTTAGACGCAGGCAACAAAAAATGGGAGTTTTTTTTCAGACATACAGTTACAGGAATATTTTAAAGATACACACACACACACACACACACACACACACTTCCCTCATGTCTGGCCAAAAATAATGTCCATTTTTACAAAAATTAAAATGGATGAAAATGATTGCTAAAGTTGTTTGAGCTTGAGGTCTTCCTTTATGCAGACCAGAATAATATCTCATCCATACGGCACATAAAGCATTTACCATGATGAATAAATGAGACCGTTTGTGTAGAGACTTCTCTCAGAAAATACATCTAAATAAAATAAGGATATTCATAGACCTTCCCCTGGTTTGGTTTTTCAGCTACTGAAAGAAGATGAATAAGTAAAACCACATTCATGTTTATCAAATGAGTGCTAGTCCATCTTTTACCTTTTAAGGCTTGGACTTGCAGGTCTCATCGTTTCTTTCTGTTCAGAATTAGACCTACAAATAACAGACACTCTGTAATATGCACTGTGCTGTATTGACGGTCACGTCCACATTTTGTATCTTACTGACAATGAACTATAAATATTTTTAAAGAAGCAGTGGCATCAATATCAGGCAAAATTAGATGAAAATATTAGGGAAAGGGCAGTTGCAGTGGTGAGCACAGATGTCTCTTCCACTGAATGACGTCACCCCGATACTACCGTAACAACTCAAAGTCCGTTACTAGTTCACATGAACAATAAACACTAAAGCCGGACCGCTTTGAACTTGGAGACTATTCTAATTGCCTTTCCTTCACTGTGAGGAAGCACTAACCCCGAGCAACCTGGAGAAGGAAGGGTTTATTTGGCTTGTACCTCCACATCACAGTGTGTCACTGAAGAAAACCATGGAAGCACTTGAGCAGAGAGCTGGAGGCAAGAACTGAAGCGAAGACCACGGAAGAATTCTGCTTCCTGACTCACTTACTGCTTCCGCTTAGCTAGCTTCCTTCTACAACCCAGGACCACATGGCCAGGGTGGTACAATCCACCGTGAGGCAGACCCTCCTCCATCAATCAGCAGTAAAGAAAACCCCCTGCAGGCATAGAAATAGGCCAAGCTGATGGAGACATACTGTTCAGTTGAGATTCTCTCTCTTCCCGGGTTTGTCAAGTTCACAACCATGAACAGCCATCACAAGGGCAAATGAACATAAAATGCACCTACTCTTTTTGGAATACCATGCCTTCTGGTTAAAATAGGGTTTTAATTAATTACCTCATGTATGAGGCTTACAACAAAGAGAGAGTACATTAGCATGACTCTGGTAGATACATTTCCTATCTATGATCAAAGGTCTATGACCAAAGACCTGCCATCCTGTGATGGTATTGCTCAGAGTAAATGCCGTGTAGAAGTCACTAGCACGACACCATTTACTTAAAGCTTTTGCATGCCCATGGCTTATACTGAATTTTCTTTCAAAGGGTGTCTAAATGAAAAGTGGAGAGAGGTCAGAAGACTTAGATTTCAAAATATCTTCCTCACTGATCAAGAACTTTCTATTATAAGAAATCCCATGTTGATTACAGATCCCATAATAAAAAGCAGGCCGAAACCCAATCCTCTCTTTCCAAAGAGAAGAGGTGACTGGGAGGATGCCCTGTTGATTCGACTTCCTTCCAACTTAACACTGTCCACTGTGGCTCTTGTTGCTGTGATAAATGTCTTCCTTCACCCTTGGCAGAATGTTCTGCGTGCTTCCTGATTAAAGACATCATCTCTTGAGTAACTAGAGAATAGGAATAGTGTTCAGAGAGTCAAAAAAGTTTTCAGAATAAGTCAATAATTCAGGTACACTCCAGCACACCAGCCCTGAAAACAGAACCTTGGAAAATTCACCGGCCCGTTGTATCTACCAGCTGGTGCCTCTCCTTACTTGCATGTCTCCACTGCCCTACAAATTATATGCCCTGCTTGTATTCCATCCCTTGTCTTCCTAACATGTATGTTCACTATGCCATTCACTTCAGTTGGGAAACAATCACAAATACACACACACACACATACACACACACACACACACACACACACACACACACAAAATACCAGAGAATATTATTTTCAGATTTACACTGCTTCCCCCCAATTTTTTTCTGTATCTCTTTTAACATAAAGACCTCCCGCTATGAAGCTATCAGATCTTGTTTTGGAAGAAACAAAATTATGTTAACCAAGCTGTTGCTATTTTTCAGGTGCTGGAGGCAGAACCTGGTGCTTGGGAGTTGCACTCACTATGGTACACTCCTTGTCATTGACATACCACAGCCCCGACAGTATTTTATATCCTTTCTCACTGCCTCTGATGAGATGTCACTATGTTTCCCAGTCATTGTTCAGATCCCTTAAGTTAATGTGGAGCAGCATTCCTCCATCAGCCTCACAAGCAGCTGTACCCACAGGCATCTGCTGCTGTGCCTGCCCCCAGGTGCTCTCCATGGAAGGGTGTAGAGAGCCACAGCATCGCTTTCCACTCAGACTGACCTTTCACATTTGACCTTTCTGAGTGGGCTTTGGTTTCCTCATCCATGAGTCTATGATTCTTTGACTTCCCATGACACAGCCGGTGCTATTTCCCTGTCACTGTGGCTCAGTGGCATTTCCCATCTTCCCCCCAATTCCCATGTTTACCTTAAACAGGAATAAACACAGACTCCCCCCAAATCAATGAAAACTCTTCTTTCCACTTCTGGCTTCCTAGCAGAAGGTGGTTTGCATATTTCACTTTAAGAGCCCTTTTATTTTTATCATGGCTTAGACAAGACTGCATTCTGAATATCATAAAAGTTTCACTCATTTTATTTAGTGTTTGGTTAATTCTATATTCTGTAGCATTTCATTTTTAATCTATGGTCTTTTCTTCCATATTAATTTTACTTCTAACAATGAATCTGTCGGTTTCCTCTGGGTTAGGTATTGTGTCTTACCACTCCAGAGTGTTGGCAAAATTTATGCTTTTAATTTTAGTAATGCAAATGGATACAGT